GGCAATATTTAGAAGCCTTGACAGCATGTAACCATCAAGGCCCTCAGGCCTTGTAAGAAGGTGGGATTTCATATGGATTTGTGCTCTTAAGGTTGACTATGAGCCTGGGATGTTTTGTAAAATGTATGTGCATCCAATAATGCAGCTCTGCCAGAAAAACAGCACTGAGGTAGAGAGTTACTCCCACATTTAAGGACAACTGGTCTACTTCATCTTCTTCACCACCTTGGTGTCCTCAGGCCCTACCTGAAATCTTGTTCATCATGTCAATACTCTTGGAGGCTCAAGCTGTGCCCAGGCACAGGGGGTCAGTAGACACCTTTCAGCCTTACATCCTGAGCATGTTTACAGTGTTGTGATAACTGATAAAACATGCCCCAAGACATTAATATGAAGGCCCCATCTTATGATGTTCTCAGCCCCTGAACCTCAAAAATCAAAGTGTCCCCTCACACAGTCATTTCTGTGGCATTTTCCATCAGAAATGCAGTATCTAACTGATATACACAGTGAGAGTCGGTGAGAGTCAGTGAGAAATCAGCAGTGGATGTTCTACACAGACACTGCACCTCTTGTAGCCACTTTCCATACTTTGCATGTGCTGTTGTGGTGGAAAGAAAGCCATCTGCTTGATCATGCCAGCTCAGATCTGGATGGTCCAAAGACCTGCAGCTTGGTTTTGGTCTTAACAGAGCTCCTTGCAGATGCTAGCAGGAGTTGGACCACGGACCTGCCGAAGGAAAGGAACCACAGTAACTAACATATTTCCAGACAACTGAAATCCTGGATGAGATTTTTTTCACTGCTACTAAAACAGAGATGATTTCATATGGAAGGTGCCAGAACACTCATCTCCAGAAACCGGAGGTATCATTATAGCTTAGCTGACAAGCAGAACAGGTTTTGATATACCCATCCAAACCATTCCTTCACTAAATTAGCCCAGCGCTTCAGGCTATGTACTACCAGCGTGTAAACAGTACTTAAAACAACTCGGTGGAAACGCTGATCAAGCCCCTGTACGAGCTGGGGGTTTGCAATCTCTTTTATGAGCTGGTCTCCCAGGCTCCCGTTGTAGTCACCTGAAACAGTTGGTTTGTCTGATCTCCAATGGGTGTTTCATCCCATATGAAGGTTGAGGCACAAATCAGGTCTTCTGAGTTGCCTCCACAAGGGCCCATTTCTCTTGGCTGACTCCACCTCCTTCCTTTCCAACCCTTCACTCTACAAAGTAGATCAGTAAAACACCCGCAGACCCGATCATGATGTTCATATTAACTCTTTATTTCTTCTAGAGATGATGACACTTGGTAGTGTGCAGAATTCCACAGCTTCCACTTCTTACTGTGAGAGGAGAGGCTTTGTCTTGATGGAAAAGCCTTACCCAATGCCTCAGATAAGAAGTGGGGTGGTGACGATGCAGCTGGTTTATCACTTGGATCCTGAGGAACGGGGCTGGTTCAGTGAGCGAGGTAGGAGCAGCCACCACCAAGGTGAACAACCAGCCTCAGCTGCTGGAGGGCAGCTCTACATGGTGTTTCACAAGCCCAGGTAGACTCACTGCACCCACACACTGAACCTGTGGGACATGAGCCAGAGCAGATGCAAACACGGGCTCCTCTCAGCAGGGTTTGCTAACACCACATTTCATTACCTCAGCTGACTGCTCCACAGTCTGCTTTTGAGGGTGGTGATAACCTAGTTTGGACAGAAACACGGTGTCTGGACCTCCCCACATGCAGGGCACTCACAACTGCTCCCAGTCTATGCTCTGAAGGTTTGATTCAGCCCTTTGTGCTCCCCATCAGCCTTCTCCGGTTGTTTTCATGGCTCTATAGCCATTTGCAAATGGGTCTCCCCAAAGGATTTCCCAGCAACCCAAGGATCTCCCTCCCCGCTGGCTGCCACCCCCAGGACTCTTCACGGTTGGATTCCTTACCAATGCCTGTCAGATTTTCAACACCAAACATGAGATCAGTTCCTTCTTTCCTGTCTGTATCAGAAGAAATGGGGTAGCCCTAAACCTCAGTGAGGATGCCCCATCCCTGGCAGTGTTCAAGGCCAGGTTGGATGGGGCTTGGCTCTAGTGGAAGGCGTCCCTGCTCCCAACCCAACCCATTCCATGGTTCTATGACTTTAAGGAGGTTCTGTGAGAAATGTAGAAAACATCTTCCTTCCTCTGCATAGAAGTGACAATTGAATAAGTTGTTGCCCAAAAAAGGCTCACGTGGGTACACACCACCCCAAGTGTGATTGGGGATCGCAGTAGGGAAAGACAGGACTAGAAGGGAGATAAAGAGACATTGTTGTTCATGGACTTTCTGCTCCTTTCTTTCTCTGCAAGTGCAATGAGAGCAAAATCTACATGGACAATTCTGTCCCCTGGTTATTTAATGAGTGACTCCTGGAGGCAATGGTGGACCCAAGGTGTAGCCACATGTCCTGGTTGAGCAGATGGACCCCCCCAACACACATTCATTTGTAAGCAGCTTCTTCCACTTTATCATTGATATTTTCTTAAAGTTGGGTCAGATCTCCACAAGCTCCTTTATCTAGTCAGAGTTCTCCAATCATAGTCAATCAATGAGTTCTCCTCATCATAAACATCGGGGTCGCGCCCTCCCATAGACCAATACACACACCACAAACAGGGTTTCAAGCTTTTAGTTGCCAAAGACAAAGGTTCCAAAGAGCTGAGCTCAAGGGCTCAGAGAACACTTGAGGAAACAAGAGCAACCATCACAACTGTGCCCCAGACCCGAGGTGCGTGGTAGGACAACGGCTGTGGAGGGAGAGGACAGCTTGGGATTATGTGTGACCCTTTCAGAGAAGCAGTGACTCAGTGATGGAGAAGAAACCATTGCCTCAAAGGTGAGGTCAACGTCTTCTTCCATCCCACTTCTGGCAGATTCTGGCATGCAAATATCAGTTGTGGGATGCATCTCCCGAAGAACCGGAGCCACTTCCAAAGACAGACCAGTAAACCCGCCTTCGGGAAGGCCACTCACCTTCGGGAGTGTCCTCCCCAGTCCCATCCCCACAGCTGCCCTCACAATAACCCCCTTCCCCTCCAGAGGTAACACCACGTGAAGAGCCATAACCTTCACTATCAGAGCCATAGACACCCCCCGAGCTGGATTCCCAACCTCCAGAGCCATACCCTCCACTGCCAGAACCACAGATACCTCCGCAGCTCGACACCCCACCTCCTGACCCAGAGCTTCCACCTCCTCCTGAGATGGAGCACTCACTGCCTGAGCTCCCACCTCCTCCATACCCTGAGCCTCCTCCTCCACAACAGATGGAGCCACCGCTGCTTGAGCTGCCTCCGATTCCATAACCTGAGCCTCCTCCTTCTCCTCCACCAATGCAACTGCCACTGCCAGAGCTGGATCCCCAACCTCCAGAGCTGGAACCTCCTCCAGAGATAGAACCTCGACTGCCAGAGCTTCCTTCTCCATAACTTGAACCTCCTCCTGAAATACCTCCTGATCCAGAGCTTCCTCCTCCGCCTCCAGAGATGGAGCCTCTCCTGCCAGAGCTGGATCCCCAACCTCCAGAGCTGACACCTCCTCCAGAGATGGAGCCTCCATGACCTGAGCTTCCACCTGAGCTTCCACCACCGGAGATGGAGCCTCCCCTGCCCGAGCTTCCTCCTCCAAATCCTGATCCCGCTCCAGAGCTTCCTCCTCCTCCATAACTTGAGCTTCCTCCTCCGATACCTCCTGATCCAGAGCTTCCTCCTCCTCCTTCAGAAATGGACCCTCTCCTTCCAGAGCTTCCTCCTCCTCCATATCCTGAGCCACCTCCTGAGATACCTCCTGATCCAGAGCTACCTCCAGAGATGGAGCCACCACTGCCAGAGCTCGAGCCCCAACCACCTCCAGAGCTTCCTCCTCCTCCATACCCGGAGCCTCCTCCTGAACTTCCTCCTCCTGATCCAGAGATGGATCCTCTCCTGCCAGAGCTTCCTCCACCACCAGAGCTCAGCCCCCCACCATGGGGACTGCATCTGCCACTGCCAGAGCTGGAGCCCCAACCTCCAGAGCTGGAACCTCCTCCATACCCTGAGCCTCCTCCTCCAAACCCTGAACCACCTCCAGAGCTGCCACCACCGGAGATGGAGCCACCACGTCCAGAGCTTTCCCCTCCTCCATAACTTGAGCTTCCTCCTGAGATACCTCCTGATCCAGAGCTGCCTCCTGATTCAGAGATGGAGCCTCTCCTGCCCGAGCTTCCTCCCCCTCCATATCCTGAGCCACCTCCTGAGATACCTCCTGATCCAGGGCTGCCTCCAGAGATGGATCCTCTCCTGCCAGAGCTGGATCCCCAACCTCCAGAGCTGGAACCTCCATGACCAGAGCTTCCTCCTCCAAATCCTGATCCCCCTCCAGAGCTTCCACCTCCTCCATACCCTGAGCCTCCTCCAGAGCTTCCTCCACCACCAGAAATGGATCCTCTCCTGTCAGAGCTTCCTCCTCCAAATCCTGAGCTTCCTCCAGATGGAGAGCTGCTTCCAGAGATGGAGCCACCACTGCCAGAGCTGCTGCCACCACCAGAGCTCAGCCCCCCACCATGGGGACTGCATCTGCCACTGCCAGAGCTGGAGCCCCAACCTCCAGAGCTGGAGCTGCCAAAACCTGAGCCTCCTCCTCCAAACCCTGAACCACCTCCAGAGCTGCCACCTCCAGAGATGGAGCCTCTTCTGCCAGAGCTTCCTCCTCCTCCATAACTTGAGCTTCCTCCTGAGCTCCCTTCTCCTGCACAGATGGAGCCACCAGTTCCAGAGCTGGAACCCCCATGACCTGAGCTTCCTCCTCCTCCTCCAAATCCTGATCCCCCTCCAGAGCTTCCTCCTCCTCCATAACTTGAGCTTCCTCCCGAGATACCTCCTGATCCAGAGCTTCCTCCTCCTCCATACCCGGAGCCTCCTCCTGAACTTCCTCCTCCTGATCCAGAGATGGATCCTCTCCTGCCAGAGCTTCCTCCACCACCAGAGCTCAGCCCCCCACCATGGGGACTGCATCTGCCACTGCCAGAGCTGGAGCCCCAACCTCCAGAGCTTCCACCTCCTCCATACCCTGAGCCTTCTCCCCCTCCACCCCCAGAGATGGAGCCTCTTCTGCCAGAGCTTCCTGCTCCTCCATAACTTGAGCTTCCTCCTCCTCCATAACTTGAGCTTCCTCCAGAGCTTCCTTCACCTGCACAGATGGAGCCACCACTTCCAGAGCTGGAACCTCCATGACCTGAGCTTCCTCCTCCTCCTCCAAATCCTGATCCCCCTCCAGAGCTTCCTCCTCCTCCATAAGTTGAGCTTCCTCCTGCAATACCTCCTGATCCAGAGCTTCCTCCAGAGATGGAGCCACCACGGCCAGAGCTGGACCCCCAACCTCCTCCAGAGCTTCCACTGCCTTCATACCCTGAACCTCCTCCTGAACTTCCTCCTCCTCCAGAGATGGATCCTCTCCTGCCAGAGCTTTCTCCACCACCAGAGCTCAGCCCCCCACCATGGGGACTGCCTCTGCCACTGCCAGAGCTGGAGCCCCAACCTCCAGAGCTGGAACCTCCTCCATACCCTGAGCCTCCTCCTCCAAACCCTGAACCACCTCCAGAGCTGCTACCTCCGGAGATGGAGCCTCTCCTGCCTGAGCTTCCTCCTCCTCCATATCCTGAGCCACCTCCTGAAATACCTCCTGATCCAGGGCTACCTCCGGAGATGGAGCCACCACTGCCAGAGCTGGATCCCCAACCTCCAGAGCTGGAACCTCCATGACCAGAGCTTCCTCCTCCAAATCCTGATCCCCCTCCAGAGCTTCCACCTCCTCCATACCCTGAGCCTCCTCCAGAGCTTCCTCCACCACCAGAGATGGATCCTCTCCTGCCAGAGCTTCCTCCTCCAAATCCTGAGCCACCTCCAGATGGAGAGCTGCTTCCAGAGATGGAGCCACCACTGCCAGAGCTGCTGCCACCACCAGAGCTCAGCCCCCCACCATGGGGACTGCATCTGCCACTGCCAGAGCTGGAGCCCCAACCTCCAGAGCTGGAGCTGCCAATACCTGAGCCTCCTCCCCCAAAACCTGAGCCACCTCCAGAGCTGCCACCACCGGAGATGGAGCCTCTTCTGCCAGAGCTTCCTCCTCCTCCATAACTTGAGCTTCCGCCTCCTCCATAACTTGAGCTTCCTCCTGAGCTCCCTTCTCCTGCACAGATGGAGCCACCAGTTCCAGAGCTGGAACCCCCATGACCTGAGCTTCCTCCTCCTCCTCCAAATCCTGATCCCCCTCCAGAGCTTCCTCCTCCTCCGTAACTTGAGCCTCCTCCCGAGATACCTCCTGATCCAGAGCTTCCTCCAGAGATGGAGCCACCACTGCCAGAGCTCGAGCCCCAACCTCCTCCAGAGCTTCCACCTCCTCCATACCCGGAGCCTCCTCCAGAGCTTCCTCCTCCTGATCCAGAGATGGATCCTCTCCTGCCAGAGCTTCCTCCACCGCCAGAGCTCAGCCCCCCACCATGAGGACTGCATCTGCCACTGCCAGAGCTGGAGCCCCAACCTCCAGAGCTGGAGCTCCCAATACCTGAGCCTCGTCCTCCAAATCCTGATCCCACTCCAGAGTTTCCTCCTCCTCCATAACTTGAGCTTCCTCCTCCGATACCTCCTGATCCAGAGCTTCCTCCTCCTCCTCCAGAGATGGAGCCTCTCCTTCCAGAGATTCCCCCTCCATACCCTGAGCCACCTCCTGAGATACCTCCTGATCCAGAGCTACCTCCAGAGATGGAGCCACCACTGCCAGAGCTGGAGCCCCAACCTCCAGAGCTGGAACCTCCATACCCAGAGCCTCCTCCTGAACTTCCTCCTCCTGATCCAGAGATGGATCCTCTCCTGCCAGAGCTTCCTCCACCACCAGAGCTCAGCCCCCCACCGTGGGGACTGCATCTGCCACTGCCAGAGCTGGAGCCCCAACCTCCAGAGCTGGAGCTCCCAGTACCTGAGCCTTCTCCTCCTCCTCCAAATCCTGATCCCCCTCCAGAGCATCCTCCTCCTCCATAACTTGAGCTTCCTCCTCCGATACCTCCTGATCCAGAGCTTCCTCCACCACCAGAGATGGATCCTCTCCTGCCAGAGCTTCCTCCTCCAAATCCTGAGCCACCTCCTGATGGAGAGCTGCTTCCAGAGATGGAGCCACCACTGCCAGAGCTTCCTCCACCACCAGAGCTCAGCCCCCCACCGTGGGGACTGCATCTGCCACTGCCAGAGCTGGAGCCCCAACCTCCAGAGCTTCCACCTCCTCCATACCCTGAGCCTTCTCCCCCTCCACCCCCAGAGATGGAGCCTCTTCTGCCAGAGCTTCCTGCTCCTCCATAATTTGAGCTTCCTCCTGAGCTCCCTTCTCCTGCACAGATGGAGCCACCAGTTCCAGAGCTGGAACCTCCATGACCTGAGCTTCCTCCTCCTCCTCCAAATCCTGATCCCCCTCCAGAGCTTCCTCCTCTGCCATAACTTGAGCTTCCTCCCGAGATACCTCCTGATCCAGAGCTTCCTCCTCCTGATCCAGAGATGGATCCTCTCCTGCCTGAGCTTCCTCCTCCAAATCCTGAGCCACCTCCTGATGGAGAGCTGCTTCCAGAGATGGAGCCACCACTGCCAGAGCTTCCTCCACCACCAGAGCTCAGCCCCCCACCATGGGGACTGCCTCTGCCACTGCCAGAGCTGGAGCCCCAACCTCCAGAGCTGGAGCTGCCAATACCTGAGCCTCCTCCTCCGTATCCTGATCCTCCTCCAGAGCTTCCTCCTCCTCCATATCCTGAGCCACCTCCTGAGATACCTCCTGATCCAGAGCTGCCTGCAGAGATGGAGCCACCACTGCCAGAGCTGGATCCCCAACCTCCAGAGCTGGAGCCACCATGACCAGAGCTTCCTCCTCCTCCAGAGATGGATCCTCTCCTGCCAGAGCTGCTGCCACCACCAGAGCTCAGCCCCCCACCATGGGGACTGCATCTGCCACTGCCAGTGCTGGAGCCCCAACCTCCAGAGCTGGAACCTCCTCCATGGCCTGAGCCTTCTCCTCCAAACCCGGAGCCACCTCCAGAGCTGCCACCTCCAGAGATGGAGCCTCTTCTGCCAGAGCTTCCGCCTCCTCCATAACTTGTGCTTCCTCCTGAGCTCCCTTCTCCTGCACAGATGGAGCCACCAGTTCCAGAGCTGGAACCCCCATGACCTGAGCTTCCTCCTCCTCCTCCAAATCCTGATCCCCCTCCAGAGCTTCCTCCTCCTCCATAACTTGAGCTTCCTCCTGAGATACCTCCTGATCCAGAGCTTCCTCCTCCTCCATACCCGGAGCCTCCTCCAGAGCTTCCTCCTCCTGATCCAGAGATGGATCCTCTCCTGCCAGAGCTTCCTCCACCACCAGAGCTCAGCCCCCCACCATGGGGACTGCATCTGCCACTGCCAGAGCTGGAGCCCCAACCTCCAGAGCTGGAGCTCCCAATACCTGAGCCTCCTCCTCCGTATCCTGATCCACCTCCAGAGCTTCCTCCTCCTCCATATCCTGAGCCACCTCCTGAGATACCTCCTGATCCAGAGCTGCCTCCAGAGATGGAGCCTCTCCTTCCAGAGCTTCCCCCTCCATATCCTGAGCCACCTCCTGAGATACCTCCTGATCCAGAGCTGCCTCCACCAATGCAACCGCCACTGCCAGAGCTGGAGCCCCAACCTCCAGAGCTGGAGCTCCCAATACCTGAGCCTCCTCCTCCAAACCCTGAGCCACCTCCAGAGCTGCCACCTTCTCCATACCCTGAGCCTTCTCCTCCTCCACCTCTGGAGATGGAGCCTCTCCTGCTTGAGCTTCCTCCTCCTCCATATCCTGAGCCACCTCCTGAGATACCTCCTGATCCAGAGCTGCCTCCAGAGATGGAGCCACCACTGCCAGAGCTGGATCCCCAACCTCCAGAGCTGGAGCCACCATGACCAGAGCTTCCTCCTCCTCCAGAGATGGATCCTCTCCTGCCAGAGCTGCTGCCACCACCAGAGCTCAGCCCCCCACCATGGGGACTGCATCTGCCACTGCCAGTGCTGGAGCCCCAACCTCCAGAGCTGGAACCTCCTCCATGGCCTGAGCCTTCTCCTCCAAACCCGGAGCCACCTCCAGAGCTGCCACCTCCAGAGATGGAGCCTCTTCTACCAGAGCTTCCTCCTCCTCCATAACTTGAGCTTCCTCCTGAGATACCTCCTGATCCAGAGCTTCCTCCTGATTCAGAGATGGAGCCTCTTCTTCCAGAGCTTCCTCCTCCTCCATAACCTGAGCCACCTCCTGAGATACCTCCTGATCCAGAGCTACCTCCAGAGATGGAGCCACCACTGCCAGAGCTCGAGCCCCAACCTCCTCCAGAGCTTCCACCTCCTCCATACCCGGAGCCTCCTCCTGAACTTCCTCCTCCTGATCCAGAGATGGATCCTCTCCTGCCAGAGCTTCCTCCACCACCAGAGCTCAGCCCCCCACCATGGGGACTGCATCTGCCACTGCCAGAGCTGGAGCCCCAACCTCCAGAGCTGGAACCTCCTCCATATCCTGAGCCTTCTCCTCCTCCACCTCCAGAGATGGAGCCTCTTCTGCCTGAGCTTCCTCCTCTTCCATAACTTGAGCTTCCTCCTGAGATACCTCCTGATTCAGAACTTCCTCCTGATCCAGAGATGGATCCTCTCCTGGCAGAGGTGCTGCCACCTCCAGAGCTCAGTCCCCCACCATGGGGACTGCATCTGCCACTGCCAGAGCTGGAGCCCCAACCTCCAGAGCTGGAACCTCCATGACCAGAGCTTCCTCCTCCAAATCCAGATCCCCCTCCATAGCTTCCTCCCCCTCCATAACTTGAGCTTCCTCCTGAGCTTCCTTCTCCTGCACAGATGGAGCCACCTCTTCCAGAGCTGGAACCTCCATGAGCTGAGCTTCTTCCTCCTTCATATCCTGAGCCACCTCCTGAGATACCTCCTGATCCAGAGCTGCCTCCTTCTCCATATCCTGAGCCTCCTCCAGAACTTCCTCCTCCTGATCCAGAGATGGATCCTCTCCTCCCAGAGCTGCTGCCACCACCAGAGCTCAGCCCCCCACCATGGGGACTGCATCTGCCACTGCCTGAGCTGGAGCCCCAACCTCCAGAGCTGGAGCTGCCAATACCTGAGCCTCGTCCTCCAAATCCTGATCCCCCTCCAGAGCTTCCTCCTCCTCCATATCCTGAGCCACCTCCTGAGATACCTCCTGATCCAGAGCTTCCTCCAGAGATGGAGCCACCACTGCCAGAGCTCGAGCCCCAACCTCCTCCAGAGCTTCCACCTCCTCCATACCCGGAGCCTCCTCCTGAACTTCCTCCTCCTGATCCAGAGATGGATCCTCTCCTGCCAGAGCTTCCTCCACCGCCAGAGCTCAGCCCCCCACCGTGGGGACTGCATCTGCCACTGCCAGAGCTGGAGCCCCAACCTCCAGAGCTGGAGCATCCATGACCTGAGCTTCCTCCTCCATAACTGGAGCCTCCTTCTGGGGTACCTCCTTCTCCACAGATGGAGCCACCTCTGCCAGAGCTTCCTCCTCCACACCCTGAGCCACCACCTGAGCTTCCTCCTCCAGATATGCATCCTCCATGACCTGAGCTTCCTCCTGAAATGCCTCCTGATCCATAGCTTCCTCCTCCTCCAGAGATGGAGCCTCCTTTTGAACCTCCTCCACCTCCACATATTGACCCACCACTTCCAGAGCTTCCTCCTCCTCCAGAGATGGAGCCTCCTTTTGAACCTCCTCCTCCACATATGGATCCACCACTTCCAGAGCTTCCTCCTCCATACCCTGAGCCTCCTTTTGAGCCTCCTCCTCCTCCTCCTCCACATATGGACCCACCACTTCCAGAGCTTCCTCCTCCTCCACAGATGGAGCCTCCTTTTGAGCCTCCCCCTCCTCCTCCTCCTCCTCCTCCACATATGGACCCGCCACTTCCAGAGCTTCCTCCTCCTCCACAAATGGAGCCTCCTTTTGAGCCTCCTCCTCCTCCACATATGGACCCACCACTTCCAGAGCTTCCTCCTCCTCCATACCCTGAACCTCCCTTTGAGCCTCCTCCTCCTCCTCCATATATGGACCCACCACTTCCAGAGCTTCCTCCTCCTCCATACCCTGAACCTCCCTTTGAGCCTCCTCCTCCTCCTCCATATATGGACCCACCACTTCCACAGCTTCCTCCTCCTCCATACCCTGAACCTCCCTTTGAGCCTCCTCCTCCTCCTCCACTTATAGACCCACCACTTCCAGAGCTTCCTCCTCCTCCATACCCTGAGCCTCCTTTTGAGCCTCCTCCTCCGCCACATATGGACCCACCACTGCCAGAGCTTCCTCCTCCATACCCTGAGCCTCCTTTTGAGCCTCCTCCTCCTCCATATATGGACCCACCACTGCCAGAGCTTCCTCCTCCATACCCTGAGCCTCCTTTTGAGCCTCCTCCTCCTCCATATATGGACCCACCACTGCCAGAGCTTCCTCCTCCATACCCTGAGCCTCCTTTTGAGCCTCCTCCTCCTCCATATATGGACCCACCACTTCCAGAGCTTCCTCCTCCTCCATACCCTGAACCTCCCTTTGAGCCTCCTCCTCCTCCACATATGGACCCACCACTTCCAGAGCTTCCTCCTCCTCCACAGATGGAGCCTCCTTTTGAGCCTCCTCCTCCTCCTCCACATATGGATCCACCACTTCCAGAGCTTCCTCCTCCTCCATACCCTGAACCTCCCTTTGAGCCTCCTCCTCCTCCTCCACTTATAGACCCACCACTTCCAGAGCTTCCTCCTCCTCCAGAGATGGAGCCCCCTTTTGAGCCTCCTCCTCCTCCTCCTCCTCCACATATGGACCCACTACTTCCAGAGCTTCCTCCTCCATACCCTGAGCCTCCTTTTGAGCCTCCTCCTCCTCCTCCACATATGGACCCACCACTTCCAGAGCTTCCTCCTCCTCCTCCACAGATGGAGCCTCCTTTTGAGCCTCCTCCTCCTCCTCCATATATGGACCCACCACTTCCAGAGCTTCCTCCTCCTCCATACCCTGAACCTCCCTTTGAGCCTCCTCCTCCTCCTCCACTTACAGACCCACTACTTCCAGAGCTTCCTCCTCCTCCAGAGATGGAGCCCCCTTTTGAGCCTCCTCCTCCTCCTCCTCCTCCACATATGGACCCACCACTTCCAGAGCTTCCTCCTCCTCCACAGATGGAGCCTCCTTTTGAGCCTCCTCCACCACATATGGACCCACCACTTCCAGAGCTTCCTCCTCCTCCAGAGATGGAGCCTCCCTTGGAGCCTCCTCCTCCTCCTCCTCCACCACATATGGACCCACCACTTCCTGAGCTTCCTCCTCCTCCAGAGATGGAGCCTCCCTTGGAGCCTCCTCCTCCTCCTCCACCACATATGGACCCACCACTTCCTGAGCTTCCTCCTCCACAGATGGAGCCTCCTTTTGAGCCTCCTCCTCCTCCACTTATGGACCCACCACTTCCAGAGCTCGGTCCCCATACTCCGGAACTTCCCCCTTTTTCTCCTCCAGGGTTCGACCCCTTGCTCGTGCCCGTGGTGGCACCTCCAGAGCTCACCCCCCCTTTCCCTCTTTTCAAGCCTGAAAATTTGACTCCATAGACTCCAGCAGCACTCGGATTGTGGTCAATGACACCTGCAAGAAATGGAAATGATGTTCTCCTTATTCTTCTTACTCACAACAACCATAAGAACCACTCATGCAAGTGGTTACATATGGCCTGTCCTTGGCAGTGTTCAAGGCCAGGTTGGACACAGGCTTGGAGCACCCTGCTCCAGTGGAAGGGGTCCCTGCCCATGACAAGGGTTGGAACTGGATGAGCTTTAAGGTCTCTTCCAACCCAAACCATTCCATGATTCTAGGAACACTCAGTGCAGCCCTTCCTTTAGGGAGGTTGGGATATGGGTTCCTCTCTCCTTTAGCTGGCCTCTGTCTTCCACAAACTAGTGGGGTTTTTCCTTCACATCTGACATGCAATGAGCACATAGACCTATGGAATAATGACCTCTACAATAAGAGACCCATAGAATAATGAGGAGTTTCTCAATTCCTACAAATCTGGTTGAAATTAGCCATTACGTTCCAAAGTCAGTAGCTCAGGGCTGACATATTCATGTGTATACATGCATATTCACACACACAAGAGGATCACACAAGAACACAAGGAAATACTATAGGAGCTAAGCTAGGAACTACAATAGCTTGCTCTGGCGGTAGGTGCTGTATACCACAGACACCAAACAGGTAAAGGTGCCCTTAAAAAGCAAAGCAAAGCCTTGAGGTACTTACAGATGGTGGCAGGAGACCCTTCCTGTATCCTGTGAAGGAAAAGTGACATTGAGACAATGAACCCACTAAACAAGTCAGGGTATGCTCTATCACTGAGCCAATGAACGATAGAGCAAATCATCCTGGAGGTCCAAGTGATAGGTCAAAGAGTGGGACCCACTGCTTGGTGCTGGTGCTTCTCTCCAGGATGGATAGCTCATACCTACCTGGTCTCCTCCTCCTCAAGGAGTGATCGGTACATGGCAATTTCAATATCCAAGGCCAATTTTGCGTTCAGCAGCTCCTGATAATCATGAAGAAGATGAGCGAGGTCGTTGCTGGCCTGCTGCAGGGCGTTTTCCAGCTCCTGGAGCTTCTCCTGGCCATCCCTGACGGCATTGCTCCCGCGCTGCTCAGCGTCTTTGATGCTCTCTTGGAGGCTGGCGTTCTGCAGGGGGCACAAACAGAGTGTTCCCATTTCCCTCCTATGGGATTTTCCAACCCTTCTGGCAGGATTTGGGAATCAAAAGTCCTGCCTCAATGACAGAACCCAGGGTAAATTAACCCAAACTGAATCTCAGTGCAGACAGCCAAAACCTGTATCTGCTCCATTTAGAGGAGAAATCACCCCCTCTAGGTTTGACTTCAAGGGACAGGCTGTGTTATCCTGCACCCAGTCCCCAGGTAGAAGTGACTTAGTTAAGTCCTGCTGGAAAATGTCAGCTTTACCCTTTTCCTTGCAATTTCAATTTCTGGTTGAAGCCTTTGGATCTGCCTGATGAGTTCCTGGATTTCCTTATAACTGGTGCTCAGCTGCTCACGTTGATTCACCCACATGTTCTGCAGGTCCTGGTACTGGTGTGCAGAGAAGAAAACAGACATTTTTGGTTTCTTTTCCATTGAGCAGACTTACCCCCATGTCTTGTCGATGTCCACTCACCCTGCCCCGGTACATGGCATCTACTTCAGCTTTGCTCCTCTGAGCAATTGTCTCGTACTCCTGCCTGACTTCTTCAATGATGCCGTCCATGTTCAGTTCTCTACTGTCGTCCATGGACAGAACGACATTGGTGTTGCCAACTACTGTTTGTAGCTGGGACAGCTCCTGAAAGGCAAACAAGATTTGGGATTTTAACAGTGTATATGAGCCTTCCAGGTCGTGTCATGAGGAAAGAAATGGCACCTCCCAGAAGAAACCCACTGGAACTTCCCTATCTGCATCCTCCAGGTCCTATTGTCCCACCACCATTTTCATTTTCAAGTATCTCCTCACCCTTTGTGACACACCAGACCCCATCTAAGTCACAGATTGAAAAGGACTTTATCAGGTCAAAGACAAAGGTTGTGGTCAAAGGGAAGCTGTGGCTGCCCCATCCCTGGCAGTGCTCAAGACCAGGCTGGACACAGAGGCTTGGAGCAAGCTGCTCTAGTGGAAGGTGTCCCTGCCCGTGGCAGGGGGTTGGAGCTGGACGGGCTTTAGGGTCCCTTCCAACACAAACCATCCCATGGTGATCCACTCTCCACAACAAAACGTTCAGGCAAAATTTCTGGGAACCCTACAGAAGACCCGTGTCCTTCAAGTCCTGAGGGCAGTTTTTTAACCTGAGAAGCTTAATACTCACAGCTTCATGCAAGCATCTGAGGAACTCAAGCTCCTGCTTCAGGATTTCCACCCGAATGTCAAATTCCATTTTTCCCATGTAAACGCTGTCCAGTTCCTGTAAAGAAAGCCATTGGCACATTTGTTTCTTTGGTCCAAATTCTCCCCTGAAGTGCAGCTCTTGCGAGAGTTGGTACATTTCTATAAGGCCTTCGTTCCTGGAGCCAAATAATGTTCCACAAACCTCAGCTCTCATTTGAAAAGCAAGTGGAACAAAAGGAAAGGGAGTTTCCTGCACTCATCCTAAAAAGGACTGATTCAGTCTCTAGAGGAGACGATTCCTCTCCAGTCTGGCAGTAAAAATCTGCAGTTTCAATGCCTTTCCCTCGGGTAAAGGTTGGACTTGATGGTCTTAAAGGTCTTTTCCAACCTAGTAGACTCTATGAATCTATGACTTCAATTAGAGAAAGTTAAGCAGAGCCCTCGCTTTGGAAAACCTGAGCAATCATTCAGTTACTGCTTTATTTCTGAGGCTTTGATTTAGTTCCTTCACCTTTTTAAGCTCCACAAACTCCTCTTCTTTGGAGGCGCGCTTGTTGATCTCATCCTCGAATCTGAATGGAGAAAGAACAGATCGATTGTTGCCCGTCTCACTTTTTCCATCAGGGGGATCAGAAACCAAAGGGAATCATTCATCAAGGAAAGGTGTCAACTCTTCATCTAACTGCAGTTTCTGCCACCTGCAAAACTCTGTGCTGAATTAGCCAGCAAGCTGGGGTAGGGCCAGATCGGTTCTAACCCCCCTGTAATTCTGAACTCAGCATCCCATTTCTCAGAGCTGTGGACATGTATTACCCTTGGATGCAGCTAAGCCAGGAGAAGTAATGACTCTTCTCAACTTGACTCCATTGACCCCACTTCTCAGCTCTCTCCCTCCCCAGTGTCCAGGTTGACCACAACCCAACGACTATCAGCAAGAGTCCTGGGTTACCCATTGCTTGGGGGAGGAATGACATGGAGGAGGTGGGAAGAGCAGGAAAGACCTACAGGGTCTTTCATTTTCCTCTTCCTGTTCTGGGTCCTACCCTCACCAAATCTGCTCTAGTCCTCCAGCACCGCAGTCCCTTAATGGACCTACTGCAGAGCACTGCTGTAACCTCGTGGAGGTTTGAAGCCAAGCTGTGCCATCCCAGGGCATTGCCATGGCGAATTCCAGCCTGCTTTTCCCCACACTTGTGATTATTCACCTCTTTTTATAATCCTCCACAAACTGAAGCATATTGTAAGCTTCCGGATCCAGCTGCTCCCGCTGGCTCTGGAGCGTTTCCAGCTGCCTCTGCAGGTTGCTGATGTAAGACTGGAAGAAGGAGGTGATGTTTCTGCTCTCTTCTGGTCCAACACTTTGCTGCTGCAGCAGTTCCCATTTGGCGATCAGAGCCTGGTTCTGCCGCTCAAGACACTGGACCTGAAAGGCAAAGGAGAAGAAGCTCTCAGGCACTGCAGGGCACTGGGGGAAACACCAACATCAGCGCTGGTCCCAATAGAAACCAAATCCAAATTAGAATTTCCAATGCAGTAACATCCAGAGGTTTCATCGGGTGAGACCAACTGTACCAACACTGGTACCAATACAGCTTACAATGAAGGAGGGACACCTTTTGTCCCAATTTGTTGCAGAAGATGGGTTCGATTTTGCTGCTGCTTCTCAAAGCTGATACTGAAATATTTGATGTTTTTTCATCTCTTAAATGCACAATATTTAGGGGGATGATTGGGGTGGAGGAAGACTTTGGTTGTTCTTGAACTACCTCAGACACCGAATATATGAGAAGAATTATCTCCCTCTCAGCAGACCACACAGAACCACGCTTTTGTCTTAGAGAAGAAGAAAGAAAGACCTATAGCATGCAGAGCTGATATGTTTAGAGACCAGAGGGGTGGCATCTCTTCAGCTGAGGCACTGAACAGATTTTACCCTGGAAGCTGATTTCCTTTTCAATATGAAAAGAGTCAAAAGTGCTCTTAGTTTCCAGGACTTAAAACTTCTGGGTGCAACCAACACCTTTTCTCTACGTAATACAAGAAGCCCTTAAGTCTTCACATGTAACACACAACACAAGCTTCCATCCTATGCAGAGACACATCACCACCTGACTAAAGGCACAGGTCAGGATTGGAAGGGTGGAAGTGATTTTGTGGCTGTTTTGTTCCTGTACCTATGAGTAGGAATGAAGGAGAAGACCAGACTGCAGAAAGAGGTGAAAGCATTGTAGCAGATAAAGAAAGATATGGGGGTCACTGGCCTCCTCAAAGAGGCTGAACCTCCAAGCAAAAAGCCCATTTGGGTTGAGATTTGGAGAAACGCAACACTTTGCTTGGGGAAGATCAATAAATAAATGAATAAAACCAGAACACATGAAGAATGCTCAAGTCCATCCGCCATCAACAATTCCCAGGCCCCAGAAGATTCCCAGTCATGCAAAACACTTCTCCAGTGAGTCAGTGAGTGAGTTCACGTGTTGGTGACATCCTGGTACTTTGCTGTTGTTCTGCCACCAAAGACAACTCAGAGATACTTATCCCAGGGCTAAATGTGATTCATGTTTATAGCAAGCTATTAAAAACCTCACACCAGTAAAAGAGAATCAAGCCAATGCTGGGGCTTTGAGGGGAGAAGATGCCGTTAAACATGCCCTATGACTCACATGGGCAGAGCGGGACCCGTTACAGTTCCCCCTTCCCAGGTAATGGTGCAAGAGAACAGGGACTCACCTTATCGATGAACGATGCAAATTTGTTGTTGAGATCCTTAATCTGCTCTTTCTCATCCAATCTCACTCTCTGGAACTCAGGGTCAACTTGTACATCAATTGGCCTCAACAGGCTGGTGTTGACACGGACCTCCTCAATGCCTCTGCTAACACCAGCCTGCCCCAAACCCTGTCCAGCCCCTCCTTCACCAAAGGTGCTTCCACCAAGCACCTCCCTGCCTGCAACTCTTCCACACGTGCTACCAAGCCGTGCTTCACCCCCTTGAGAAGCTCCCACAAAATACCTTGTTCTGCCAAAGCCCCTATCCAGATGTCCCCTACCACCAAACCCCAGGCACATCCCATCTCCTCTTCCTTCTCCTCTGTAGCCTCCGCTGGTAAAAACATTCCTAAAGCCACCAAGGTTGTGGAGACTCCTGCTGCTGTAACCATACCCGTAACCACGGTATCTTCCTTGTCCTCTATTGTCTTCACAATGGCTCACGGTACATGAGCTTCTCCCACCGCCAAGCGTGCCACAGTGAGCAGAAGAAGAACTGAAATTGCCATCCCCAAACTGGGAGAAGCGCCAGCTCATCGTGTTGCCTGCAGAGTGTTAGGAGGAGAGAGCAGCGGGGAAGTGGTAAAACAGGAGGAGAAATGAGAGCAAAGGATCCTCAGCTCCTCTGCCGGGGGTGATGGAAGTTCTCCTTTATATGTTGTGGAGGAGTTCCTCTCCATTCCGTGGTAATTAGCAGGTCTGTTAATGCTGTTGGGTTTGGTTCATCAGGCAGCAATTAAGGCTGCCTGAGGAGAGGTCAGAGTAAACACCACACACTCCAACGGAGATGTTGTGAAATTCCCCAAATCCTGCTTGACTCATGAGCTTTGCTGGGGTGAGATTTCCTTATCTCCTTCACCTGCCCTCCATATTAATTACAGCTCGCACAGTTACCCATGCACATCACATCACCGTGCCTTGTTCTCCCTCACACCTCCCCACCTCTCTTGGCCTCTCATTTCACGAGAACCAGGCCTTGATACTGTCCTCACATTGACGTGGGGGTGGCTGACCTTGCTTCACCGTGTCACCAGAACCTACTACCAGGAGGGAAGATCCCTTAGCTTCCCATTCCCACTTTTCTCTCATTCCCAGTATTTCCACCCAGGAGCAAGTATTGCTCCTGCAGGGAGAGGCTCTTCTTGCTCATGGAGTTGCCTTTGGTCCATAAAGCTGAAATAGTGCCTAGAAAACAGATAAAATGGGATCTCTCTGTATCAATTTTAGCTTTGAATAAATGGATGTAGAGTTTTAAATGGAAACGAGAAAGCTCTGAGAGAAACTTCAATCAATTGAATGAATCTTTGAAGTATTAAAGATGAGGTCGCTTTAGGGAGCAAATGACCCATCACTTCCACCCTTCCACTGTGATTGCTCCTACTCTTCCATGTGGGAATAGATAGACCATGAACTCAACCTGCCTGTTTGTGGAGTGGTTTTTAAAGGCTCTGCTTCTGGAGAGCTGAGATGTCAAATCCAGAGCTGGGCTCCAAGCTTTTCTCCCCAGGTTCTCCCTCTGAGCCTGATCCATCCCTCTTCATCTCTGTGCAGGACTCCAGCTTCCCAGTCTGAGCACGCTCCGGTGCAAGACTCAATGGCCATGGACCCAATGGCCCTTTGTGAGCCAAGTCCTGCTGCTGATAACACCACTGAGAGCCTTCAGCTTTGACTAACAGCTCAAGAAGACAACTGAGATCTGGTGCACGGCCTCCAAAACCACTGGTGGAGCAACTTCCACATGGCAAGTGCATCCCCTTTGTCCTCTGCACCACATCAGGAAGAGCTGGAGATGCTCTTCCTGCCAAAGCTGCTGGATAAAGCCACACTGTGAGCCCTTCAGTTGCATAAAGGTTATGTGGTCAGGGCTTTGTAACCCTTTCTCTGGGTCCATTTGAGAAGTGCCTCATAAATCCCCTCGATGAAAGGCTTGTGGGGAGCTCTGTTAGGCTGGTTGTTACAGGTCCAGCTGAAATATCTTGAGGTGGACGAGAGTTTGGATGCTCAGTGACCAGAGGAAGGGCTTTTCCCAGAAGCAGGCACTGTGTTTTCCAGACAACCAGATGAGAAGTGCTGCGTTTCCCTCCCAAACTTGGTCTCTTCTAGCCTTACATCTGCAGACTGTCCACTGGTGCTGCTTTCTTGTAATTAAACTTCACTGGTTACCTGCATTTTACTGAGAATTTCAACCAGATTTCCCACTGAATTCCCCCTTTTTTATAGACCTATTGAAAAATCTGACTGGGGTTGGGAATTCTGTGTCCTGCTGGAAAGAGTAATTATGGTGAACATCAAAAATGTCATGTCCGTCACAAAAGTGAGTGGGGGCAAATCTGGGAACAGCCCCATTCCAGCACATCTGGGTAAGGTTTGCCAGAGCATTGGGATACCACACAAAAACCTTTTCTGTTCTGTTTCAGTTGGGCTCAGTAGTTTCTAGATGATGGTGCCTGTGAAGAAAACACAATGTAAATTGTCCTCCTTCACTCCCATGTTTTGGGTGAGCTGAAAGATTCCTTCAAGAGCTGCATCCACTCTCTGCAATGTTCTGTGCAGGACAAACTGTGTCTGAACAACACTGAGACTCAATCTCCTGTGTGGCCTTGGGGCCATTATTAGGCTCAGGTAAAGATTAGGAGGACAATATATGACTCCATGTCAGGAGGAGGTGAGACTTGGTGGACGTGAGCCATGATTGTCCTTGATGTCTGAGCTAAATCATCCCTTTTCCTTGCCTTATCAACTCCCCAGCACAAGAGTTTCCCAAGGGTCGCTGCTGGTCACCTCTGGGTTGAGTTTGTATATAACTGCTTTGGGGGCAATTCATCTTCATCCTTCTTCTTCCCAATTTGAGAGGCTCATTCCAATGCGTGCTGAGTCAGGGCAATGCTTCAGATCATCCACACGGATCTTGGAAGGAAGTGTTATGACCTACGGGAGGGAACACCCACAGATCAAACAAACTAGTTCCATGTGGAACAAGGTTAGATAGACGTCTATCCAAAATCACTGCCCTACATACATACATCAGCTCCCTGCATGAAGCAAACCAGGTGGCAGCTCATGCAGGACCACTGCACTGTGGTGTGAAGGAGCTTGAGAAGGAGCCTGCAAACCCTGCGTGAGAAGAGCAGCCATCCCACCCCACGTGCCACCTAATCCAGAGCACGACGTGTAGGCTGCTGTTGTGATGGTCGCTGGCACCAGCTCAACCCTGGCACAACAAGAGCCACACCTGAACCTGCTGAGCTGGCTCCAGAAACAGCGATGCACCCAGCGAGATGTTCACACATCCTGTGGATGCAGGGGGAGCTTCCTGTGGTACCTTCCTCTTCCCTGCAATGAGCTGGCATTGCTCCTGGATGTGCCTGGGGATCTTCTGCCCTGACCCTTTAAATGAAACAGCGAAACAGTCCCCAACATAGAATGAAAAATAAAAATATACAAAATAAAAGTCATGGAATCATGAGACCTCACCTGCAGCATTGTGTGCAGTTCTGGTGTCCTCAGCATAAAAAGGACATGGAACTGTTGGAACAAGTCCAGAGGAGGCCACAAGGATAAGCAGGGACTGGAGCACCTCCTGTATGGAGACAGGCTGAGGAAGTTGGGGCTGTTCAGCCTGGAGAAGAGAAGCTGCATGGAGACCTCAGAGCAGCTTCCAGTATCTGAAGGGGGCCTATAGGGATGCTGGGGAGGGACTCTTCATTAGGGACTGCAGTGACAGGACAAGGGGTAACGGGTTCAAACTGAAACAGGGGAAGTTTAGATTGGATCTAAGGAAGAAATTCTTTGCTGTGAGGGTGCTGAGGCACTGGAATGGGTTGCCCAGGGAGGTTGGGAATGCTCCATCCCTGGTGGTGTTCAAGGCCAGGTTGGACGAGGCCTTGGGTGACCTGGTTTAGCGTGAGGTGTCCCTGCCCATGGCAGGGGGTTGGAACTGGATGAGCTTCAGGTGCTTTCCAACCCAAACCATTCCATGATTCTATGATTCTATGAATCCCAACATCCTTCTTATGCTCCAAATGTCCTTAATGCCCTTCTTGTCTACCTCACTGCTATTTGGGGGCTTTTCCCCTGTATCAAACATTTGTCATTCTCTAACAAATTCATACACTGAGCTTGATCTGTCTTTTCCCCCAGAAATGCCTCATAGGAGCAAGATTAATTGTATACACTTTATAACGAGTGTGAGTACTAAAAGAACCGACATTCTTGTCATGGAGATGGGTCATCATGGAATATACCAGTTCATGGAGCAATTCAGGGGCTGCTCAAACACCCACATGGTCAACCTGGCTTTTTGTTGATGTGGGTTTTTAGTATGAATCTAAAAAGCACCCCAACTTAGTCATGTAGATTTGACTGCCTGGGCTCCCTGTGCAGCCTATGGAGCCAGCACAGAACATCCACGTGTTATTCCACCCATCCAGGACAGTCCATGAGGCAGGTGATGATGTTCCTCCCATCTGGACAAGCCTCTGAGAGAGGTGATATAAGTGTGCCCTTTGGGATGCCTCATTTCTCTCTATGGACCATAAGGGAACCTGGAGCTCGCTCAGCTCCTGCCTGTTGGGTGGTGAGGGTAACATGAGTTAATCATCCTCCATCAGACCCATGTCACAGAGAATGTGCCAAGAATGAACGTTTTCAAACCACAAAGACGATTCACAAACAGGCCCGAGCTGTTCTGGAGCACAACTGAAGCCAGAACACAACCCACATCTGTCTGTCAACCCATGTCACACGTGGGAATCACAAATCCTAGTGCTTAGGCTGATGCTCGAGGAAATGCCTCCAGATTCCTGCAGGACCATTTTAATCAGATCAGCGGATAAATAAGTGCTGTAACGCACTTATTACTCTTAAACAACTACTGCACACAGTGGACACAGAGCAGTGTAGTATAGTAGCACATAATAAAGGCAGTACTTCAGTTTAATAGTTGTCCAGAGCAAGGAGATAGACTTGACTGTAGTAGCACACACAGGATTGAAATGGCAGCTCTTGATCACTGGTTGCCTAAACACCCGCGTAAGGAGGGCCCTAAGTCACTTAGAAAATGGGATTGGGATCACCCAGAGCACTAATAAAAATGCCTTTCATCCCACAGACTTTCATTTTCTCCCACCTTCCATCCCAGCGACTAACAGCAGCCTTTGTCTGTGGCCAGTGAAGGCAGCCACAGGTTCTGCTCCTTTAACTCTGAGGTTCCCCAGCCTGGAGAGCACCTTGTCTGCAAGAGCACATTGTACTTATTACAGAGACACTTGGAAGCTGGAACACGATCCCATGGGTGTGATCTGTGGTACACAGAGATCAGATGGAGCTTCCCTCACCTACATCTGGGGGAGACTCAAGGTTGCAATTAGAGCACAGAAATGAAGCCCTATGAGGGCATGTTGAGAGTTACATGAGTTGTCAACTCTTTGTAGTAAAACACTGAGCATTCATGACAAGGAATCTGTAATTAGGGGAGGTCTGGGGTAGGATCATGGAATGATGGAATGGTTTGGGTTGGAAGGGACCTTAAAGCTCATCCAGTTCCAATCCAGCTCCAGGGACCCCTTCCACTGGAGCAGGGTGCTCCAAGCCCCTGTGTCCAACCTGGCCTTGAGCACTGCCAGGGATGGGGCAGCCACAGCTTCTCTGGGCACCCTGTGCCAGCGCCTCAGCACCCTCACAGGGAAGAGCTTCTGCCCCAGAGCTCATCTCAGTCTCCCCTCTGGCAGGTTCAAGCCATTCCCCTTGGCCTGTCCCTCCATCCCTTGTCCCAAGCCCCTCTCCAGCTTTCCTGCAGCCCCTTGAGGCACTGGAGCTGCTCTCAGGTCTCCCCTTCAGGAGCCTTCTCTTCTCCAGGCTGCCCCAGCCCAGCTCTCTCAGCCTGGCTCCACAGGAAGCCAGGCACAGGCAGGATGAATTCAACCTTCTGTGGGGCAGGTCCCTACTTCTAGGGGTAGGTCACTCCCCACCTGTGCTTTGCCTGCTGGAAACACTTGGAATGGGGAGAGGGGTGAGCTGTGTTAAGGCTTGATTGTAGTCTCAGGTCTGGACCAGCAAGGATTCTTCTAATAGAAAACAAAACATCACTTGACTTTGCCATCCCGTTAACAAATGACTAATGGCTATT